AGAGGCCACATAGAAGACTTATACAGTGAACTGAACAAATGGTCATTTGAGAGTAAGTTGTTTTCACAATCTTGTTCATTTGATTTGGGCAGTGGTATTGTGAGTTCGGAAGGAAGGTTGGGCAATCTACTTCCGTAGTGATACTACCTCGGAAACCCAAGGAGGGGTCGCTATGAGTCAGGTCTGACTCGACGGCACATAACAACAACATTGTGAGTTCCCTGCTTCCATATCACACACCATTGCTGACTAGAGAGAAGCCATAATGGTCTTAGTAAAGACTCTTCAAAGCACTCAAGTTATGCCTGGCACTGTAGGTTGTTCTTGCAGTCATTCGACAAATGCTGGACACCTGCAATGAGTCAGGCACCGTGCTGGGGGCACAGTGGTGAACAGGTGACATCCTGCCCTTGGGGAGCTTGGATTCCATAGGAGTGACAATCAACAAGTCAGTGACAGTCAACAAGTCAACTCATTTTAACATATACTCTGTTGAGGGGTAAAGGAAAAGGGTATAGGAGTCAAGAAAGAACAATGAAGAGGCGCTGAGGTGGGGCAAGTCCTCTTAGGTAGGTGACATTTGGGACTTGAAGGAAGAAAAGGAGCAAGCCGCGGGGTTATCTGGAGAAGACTGGTCCAGGCAGAGGAGACAAGAAGCGCAAATGGCCAGAGGTGGAAGCATTTGGTGCATTTGAGGAACTTCAGGACACTGATGCCAGTGAATGGTGGCGAGCAACGGGGAGGGTGTGCGAAAGGAGTCAAGGTCAAAAAGGACACAGGTATCAGATGAGGCTGAGCCCGTAGCTTCTTGTAAAGACTTGAGCTTTCCTTCAGAAACAGATGGTGAGCCAAGCCCTTTCTACGTTTTTGCTCATCCGTCCTTGCAGTTGGCTTGCTGCAAGATGGCTGATGTACCTCCTGGCCCCCCTCTGCCTTCCAGGCAAACACAGGGAGGAGAGAGGAGCGAGCTAAGCCAGCTGCTTGGCTACCCTTTACCAAGAAAACTAAAGAGTGTTTCCCCTTAGGCCCCATTGGCTGGAGCCAGTCATGTGACTACTCTGGCTGCTACAAGGCAGGCTGGGAAATCAGGAAATTTGTTGTCATCAGGATCTTAAACCCATCTGATTATTTCCTGCCTGAGGACTGATAGATGGCCACTCTACACAAAACTGTAGGGGAGAAATAGGGAGACTGGGTATTGGGTAGGCCAATAGCAATGTCTGCCACACGTGATATCAATGATGAACTCTGGCGAAAGCAAGACATTGTGGGAGAGATTCACTCACATATAAGAAGCAGCTACATTTGCAACACCATAACAATATTTTGTGGATTCTAATTGCATGCCACACAAAAGGGAAAGCAGACTGGAATTTACAGATGGGTCAGTTCTCCTGCCCCCTTCATATTGGACCCGCTATGAAAGAGCAAGGGAGCTCTGGTGCTGTAATGCCTAAGGCATTTGACTGCTAACCAGAAGGCTGGCGGTTCAAATCCACTAGCCACTCCTGGGAAGGAAGTTGGGCAATCTACTTCCATAGTGATACTGCCTCGGAAACCCATGGAGGGGTCACTATGAGTTGGATCTGACTCGACAGCAGTGTGTTTGATTTTTTTGGTTTCCTTCTTGTACAACCCAAAGACACCTCACGCACCCCAGTGCCATAGATCCATGCCATGCTCTGTGGAACACAAAGATGGGAAAACCTTGAAAGATGAGCAGGAATGACTGGAGTCTGGAAAGTATGGAGGTAGTCAAAGCTGTGGATTTGCATAAGCTGCTTGCCTGTCACTCCTCAGCTTTATCATGTTAGGCTGTTTATCCCTTTAGTCTCCTGTAAGTCCAGAGCTAATTGTTGTTGTTGTTAGGTGCCACTGAGTTGATTCCAATCCGTAGTGACCTTATCCGACAGAGTTAAAACTGCCCAGTAGGGTTTCATCACCTGTAATCTTTATAGGAGGGGATCTCTTGGTCGTTATCCTGTGGAGCTGTTGGGTGGGTTCAAACCATTAACCTTCCGGTTAGCAGCTGAGTGCTTAATCATTGCAGCACCAGGGCTCCTTTGAGAGCTAATTACCAACCTATTAAAAGGGGCTATTAGTGACCCTGGGTCATAAAAGAAAATGGCCATAGAAGGTATTCTGGGGGCAGCTGGAGATATGTTTCAATAGGCACATCACAGATGCAGTAGGGAATGAGTGCCCATGTTCTAAGGGACGTTAATGACATTGAGGTTTTGGAGGAGGATGCCCTTGGTCTTCAGAGACAACTGTTCAGGTAAATGTGATGTGGCACGAAAGCTAAATATTACTTTCCAATGCTGCAGCACATACACGTCACACAAACTTATGTGCACATGCACACACAGAGATGTAACGGGAGCCCGGTGACAATGATGACTGCCTTTGAGTTAAGAGTATACAGGCATTTATTGTACTATTCTTTCAACTTTTCTGTAGATGAAAAAGTCTTAAAAGTTGGAAAGTTTAAAAAAAAAAAAACAGATGGTCTACTGTGTTAATGAAGTGGGAACATAAAGCACCTGGCAGATAGTGAATGTGGTTACAGTAGCATGTCGTCAAGTCTGTTTTCGACTCCTAGTGACCCATGTGACAAAGTAGAACTGCCCCAGAGGGTTTTCTGGATTACCAGTTCTTCCTCCTGCAGAGCCACTGGGGAGGTTTGAACTGCCAACCTTTTGGTTGCCAGCCATGTGCTTAACCTTTGCAGCACCAGGGCTCCTCATATAGGGAATGCTTAGTGCATAATTGATCTCTTCCCTTCCTTTCCTCTCATGAATGGCTTCCTTACTGACCATCATCAAAGCAACGGTAAAAAAAAAAAAAAAAAAAAAACCAACTCTCCGCCCTTGCAATGGTTAAGACTCCTAGCAGCAGAATCCAGTACAGGAGTCCAACATCACAGCTGGGGTCGAGGCGGAGCTAGACAGTTCTGAGGCAATGGTACCCGTGTTCCATCCTCAGGTCTCTTCCACGACCATGAAATAACTAAGGACTGTATGTCACTGACCAGGAGGTTCTGAGCAGATGAGTCATGGGGCCTGGAGATCACCTCTAGAAAGAGGACAGACCATGTCCCTCCTCTCAGACCCTTCCTCTGTGTTCTTAGACTTCTGTTTTTTCTTAGAAAAGACCACACTTTTACGAAAGACAGGATCAAGCCTTCAATGGGCAGCTAATCACAGACAGCAGAGTGGCTGTGATTGGGTAACAGTGGTGATTATTTTAAATTAACAGGTATCTGCCTTGTGTTATATGAGAAGAGATTTGGGCTCCTACAGAAGAACGCAGGGGATGAAGCTTTGAACTTCATCATGGCCATCAAAACGGTGAGTGTGCCCTTTAGGAGAACGGCGTTCCTGGTGGATGTTGTATAGCTGTGAACTTAATGGATGGGTATCAGTGTTTCCCAAAGGAAGGGCCACACATTTTATTTTAACAGTTAATGAATTACATATGTTAATGTATTATTAGTGTTAGGCATGCTGGAGTCAGTTCCCACTCACAGCCACCCCACGTACAACACAAGGAAACCCTGTCAGTCCGGTGCCATCCTCACAACCCCCTCTATGTCTGAGCCCGTTGCTGTAGCCACTGTTATTTTAATGTATACATGTGCCTATGTGCGTACATAGAAGAAAAACACTGAACTCCTCGTGTCTTCCTTCTGTATTTCAGCTCAAAGCTGGTTGAGTAAAACTATAATTAAAAGAGTCTTAAGAATTTTCAGATTTTAATTTTTTTGAATAGTTGAGTGATAATGTGGATGTGGTAGAAACTGTGAAATTGGTTGGGGAATGATTAAAGTTTGGGGATTCTTGGAAATTGAAGTGAATATGAAAGGTGTTGCTGTGTAATTTTTTAAATGTTTAGGTCCTTAGGTTTTTGATTAAACAAATCTGCCATAATTATCAGTATTTCCTGGGGCCGTGGGGAGCTGGTGAGCAGGCATTGCTACCAGGGACAGCACGGTGAGGACGGCAGAGCCCTCTGACTTCCTGCTGCTTGGGGAGCACAGGGTCCTGCTGTTCTGAGTGGCCCACTTCCCTAATGGAGGTGGTGGTTGAGAGAAGGAGGATTTGCAGTGAAAGGCACTGTGTCTCTCACAGATGATGAGCACTTTTGGGAGGATGATGGTCACCCCCGTGGAGCTGCACAGGAGCCTCAACACCAGGGTCTGGCAGGCTCACACATTAGCCTGGGACACCATTTTCAAATCAGGTAAGAGCGGCCGGCACCGGGTGGCCACACATACTCCCAGCAGCCCTGTCTCCTGGATGCCGCTGCAGACCAGCAATGATCTTTCTGGACCAACTCTTTGGTGTCTCCACGGACCTGCTGCACCCGATTTAGTGGCTTTGCAAATGCACGAGTTTGGGAGTTGCTGTCAGGTAGAGCAATCATAAGAAGGCAGGGACTGGCTTGCTGCCATCTTTGGGGCCTAGGAGGGATTCAAAGCAAGAGCTTTGGAGTCAGAGACACTTGGGTTCAAGTCTCAGTTGTGTCACTGGGCAAGGTGACACACCCATGTGCTGTCCCGTTCTTATCCTCTGTTGTCTTGTCTCTAAAATGGGCTAATAATTATACCAACCTCAATGCAGCTGTATTTAGGGTTTTTATAAGGAGCATAAAAATCTTGCATGTCACCCCTTCTCAATGAACCAGATCTATCTCTGCTATATTATGGAGGCTTCATTTGGTACCAGGTATTGTGTGGTGTGAACGGTTAAGCGCTCAGTTACTACCCAAAAGATTGGCAGTTGGAACCCCCCCCCCAGGCACCTTGAAAGAAAGGCCTGACAATCTGTTTCTGAAAGGTCACCGCCTTCGAAACCCTGTGGAGCCCATACATACTCTGTATACAGGCATCAACGGCAACCAACAGCCATAATTCAATGTGTGTGTGTGTGTGTGTGCACGCACAATCAAACCCATTGCTGTCAAGTTGATTCAACTCCTAGCAACCCTATAGGACAGAGTAGAATTGCCCTACAGGGTTTCCAATGCTGTCATCTTTACAGAAGTAGATTGCTACAGTTTTCTCCAGAACAGCAGCTAGTGGATTTGAACTGCCAACTTTTCAGTTACCAGCTGAGCGCTTAACTATTTTGCCACCAGAGTTCCTTGCTTCTATATGTTAAGCTCCTGGTATCCAAAGGGTGATGTGTGGACCGGCAGCATTAGCACCACCTCAGAGCTCCTTAGAGATACACATATCCTCCTTCATTCCACTTCTAACCCCTGCTGAGAATTTGCATTTCCATCTCCCATCCCCAAATAAAAGCCAGACTCACTGCCATTGAGTCTAATTCAACTCACAGAGACCCTCTTTGGGTTTCCGAGCCAGTAAATCTCTACGGAAGCAGATTGCCCAGTCTTCCTTCCATGGAGTGGCTGGTGGGTTTGAACTGCCAACCTTCTAGTTAGCAGTCAAATCTTAACAAGATTTCAGTACATAGGAATCACTGGGGATCTTGTTAAAATGTGGATTCTGATTCAGTCTGTGGGGGGCAGGGTAGAAATGCAAATTCCCAGCAGGGGGTTGAACCAGAATGAGCTGGTTTGAAGCCCTGTGCCCTTCCCAGACCCTGAGTCACAACTCGCCTCTTATGGAGGTCCCCAGGTGGTCCCCATGCATGCTACACTTGGAGAAGCACTGCTCCTGTGGACAGTAAGTCCTGAGGAGACAATATTAGCTTATTTAACAAAGTGTCCAAATAAAACCCAAAACAACCCACCGTCATGGAGTCAATTCTAGTTCACAGCAACCCTGAAAGACTCTTTATGTATTGCAAGAAGGATTTCGTCTGGTTCTCTTTCATTCTTTTCCTCATCTTAATTTCCAACTCGCTTCCCCTTTTCTCTTCCACCAGTCAAATCGTCTATCGACAGCCAGTTAGAGAAGTCCTCTCAGGCCCCTGGTACAGATTTCCTCTGTGACATTTATCACCACAGTCAGCTTTCAAGGAAAGAACTGTATGCAGCCGTCACGGAGCTGCAGCTGGCTGCGGTGGAGACGGTAAGGCTGGGCTGGTGTCATTTTGCTAAGTAGCCTGCACAGCTTTTCATGAGGAATTTTAAATTGTCGTTCACGGGCTCCCTCATTCCATGAGGATTTTAGCTCTCATTTAGCAAAATGAAGAGTCTCACCCTAGACGCTCTGGGAAGCCCAGTGCACAGTCTGTGCACCTGAACCTGACGTAGGAGAACAATGATGACGCTCTATTGACTGAAACAACAAAATCAGTGCCACCTCATGGAGCACCTGTGTGGGTCAGAGTAGAGCTCTGTGCAATGGCTGGCTTTTCTAGAGCAGATCGTGAGACCTTTCCTCTGAGGCACTCAGGGTGAACTCAGACCTCCAGCCTTTCAGTTAGCAGCTGCACACTAAACACTTGCACCACCCAGGGACTCCAAAGTCCAGAGAAGAATAAGGGAAGATGGGGCAATCTACTTCCATAGTGATACTGCCTCGGAAACCCAAGGAGGGGTCACCATGAGTCGGGTCTGACTCGACAGCACTTAACAACAACAACAACAACAACATGAGGAACACGCAGACAGCTGTGGGAACTCAAATGCAGTAAAGTTGCTTTCCCTAATGGACAGATCATCTAGAATTTAAAAATAGGATGTGTTTGAGGTGGTTACACATTACCACAAAGTGCCTGACTGTGGTTGTTATTTACTGTCAAAATAGCGAAATACTCTCATCCATGCTGATGCTTGTTTTTCTTTTTTCTTTTTTTTTCCTGCTTAAAATTGGAACATGGTGAGTTTGGAAAACTTGGTTTTAAATTCAATGAAACAGTTTACTTTAAATGTCAAAAGTCCATCTCCAGCTTGGTTGAAAGTCCTAATAGATGCTTTGTGTAGCCAAACCCCTCACACAAATACCAGCGTGATTGTGTGAATTGTCTTCAATTCATTTTTCAAGCTGTCATCAGAGTGGTGCATTTTCAGATATCTCTGATATCTTCAGATGTCTCACAGGTACATTTCATACACTTGATAGTCTTCAAGCAGAATATATACTAGCTCATTGCTTTTCTAGGTTTTCCCCTTCTTTTGTGCTTCTTGTTGGAAGAAAAATTAGGGTTTTCTCTATCCGAGGACTACTGAGGTTCTCATTCCTCCTCATGCCCACAAAAGTTATCAAAAAGTGCAAATTTTAGGTCACTTTCCTATTGGTTCATTAACCCTGAGAGGCTCTAAGAGTGATCAAAGTCAAGGTTCATCCATTCTTCTTTTAATTCAACTGGAAGAATATGAGCCCCATGAAGAAAATGACTTAGTGTGTCTACTCTTGTATTCCCAGAATCTAGAACAATACCTGGCACGTTGAAGGTGCTCAATAAATGTTTGTTGAATCAGTTAAAGACTTCAGCAACTATTGAGTACCTACTTCATGCCAGGCACTGTTCCTGGTACTTGAGAGGTCATCATGAACCAGAGACAAAGTCTTCACCTCCATGGACCTTACATGCTAGTGGCGAAGACAGAAAATAAACAAGCAAACATGATCATTTCAGACAGTGGTGTGGGCCATGGAGGAAACCGCCAGGGTAATGTAACAGTGAGGAACAGAAATGGAGGGACGGGCTCCTCTCTGAGGAAATGATATTGGAGCCGACTGGAATGATGAGAAGGCATCAGCCATGGGAACATCTGGTGGAAGAACACTCCAGGCAGAAGAGAGGACATGCAAAGGCCCTGGGGCAGAAAGAGGAGTGGGGCAAGAGCAGAGGCAATGTAGTAGGAGCTGAGATTCAGGGAGGAACCGGGACCTGTTAACTGGGGCCTCAGTGAGCCTTGGAAAAGCATTTGGATTCTATTATACCAGGGGGGCTGTAAGCAGATGCATGACCTGATCAAATTTATGTTTTGAGAGGTGGACTCTGGGTGTAGAATGGACTTAGTGGAAATAGCAGCCTCTGCGGAGGTCAAGCCAGGATAGTTTATGCCCCTGAGGTTCCATTTCCGCTCCAGTCACCCACTGCAGTTATCCTAACAGGCCCAGACTGTCTTACATGGCTTTGGTGAAGGCTACAGTTATCTGTGTTTTGGAAACTTTATTTGGGACTTGCCGTGAAGGACCCATTGATAGAGTTAAACCTGTTTCTTTTTTAGTCCTGGCTACTCTAAAAGTCACATGTGGAAAATCAGAGAAATCTGAAAGTGTATCTAATTTGGTGGCTACACCCTCTTCCTGTTTGGGAAATTGGCCTCTTGGAATAATGGTCGCCATAGTTGATTTGCAGCCCAGGCTCTGGTCCTGACATGGAGAAGCCTGGCCCGGAGGCATCTTGTTCCTAAAACAGTAAATACCGGTAGCTGGGCAGCATCTTGCACTTTGATCCTTTGTGGGAGTGACACATGGCATTTAGTCTTTGTGCCTGTAGAGGGAGGCTACCGTTGACTATTCCTGGGGAAGATTTGGTTTAAATTAACTAAAAGGTCCAAAAAGCAAACGGGCTTGGTACTAGTGCTGAATATTACTCAGTTAAAAGCTCCACTGGCTGTTTCCACCACTATTTCTTTTTTTCTTCCCATTATCTTTGGAAAGGAAGTAACAGATGCCACTTGAAAGGACAGGAGCCTTTCAGACACCTTTTAGAAACCCTAGCTGGCTCCCTGAAACCCTCAGCTGATAGTAGGAGGCCATCTTTTGCTGTTGGCGTCCTCCTACAGGAGTTCTTTGCATGTGGCTGGAGCCCAGAGTGTAGATGGCATTTTTTAAATTTTCATGATCATTTTTTTATATTTAATTTTTTATTGTGATTTGGGTGAAAGTTCACAGAGCAAATTCGTTTTCCATACAGTAGTTCATACACGTTTTGTTTCATGACATTGACTGCAATTGCCCACAATGTAACAGTTCTCTTCCCACTTCCTCCCTACAGTTGCCTCTTCCCTGTGTCCTTCTCTCCTATGCACTCCTGCCCCCTCAGCTATCTCCCTGTGCAAACACCACCCTTTTGTTCTCCCACAATTGATCACTCTAAGGAGTGTATCTACCTGTTGTTTGGCTGGAAGCCACAGGAGTGAGTTCAGTTCCAGACCTGAAGGATAACTAGGGGCCATAGTCTCAGGGTCTCACCAGGCTCTATTGGACCAGTAAACCTGGTCTTTTTTTTTTTTCATGATTTTGAGTTTTGTTCCACATTGTTCTCCCACTCTATCCAGGATCTCTTGCACTGATCCCTTTCTGAGTGGTTGATAATTGTAGCCAGGCACCATCTAGTTCTTCTGGTCTCATGCTCATATAGACTGAGGATTGCATGCTTTACTAGTCCCTTGGACTAATCGTTTCCATGTGTCTTTGGTTTTCTTCATTCTTCTTTGCCCTGGACAAGGAGAGACCCGTTGTTTCACCTAGATGGCCACTTGCAAGCTTTTAAGGCCCCAATCGCTACTCACCAAAGTAGGAAGTAGAACAGTGTTTTTGTGTAGTATGTTATTGAGCTTGATGTCCCCTGCAACCATGGTCTCAAGCCCACAGATCCAACTCCTCACTCCTTCAGGATGGTTGGCTGCAGCTAAGAAGTTACCATAACTTTGCCCCTTGTTAGCTTGATTATATATTTGGACCTTCTTACAGCACACACAAATACATATGTAGAAGTATCGTCTGCCAACCTTATATACAGTCAAAGATAGATTCCCTTTTGCCTAAACATGCCTGATCATTGACCCTGTCTACCCAACTATTTACCGATTGATTAATGTTTGTTATCACTGATAATACAGTATTGTATATGGAAAAGGATTTATCTTTGTTGTCTGTAACTCTTGTGTACTTCTCTGTGTCTTCCTCTTCCTCAGTGCCACTGTGTTGATCCCTCGCTTTTGGTACATTGCCCTTCTGTTCACCCAAATCAACACTTGTCTCTATCTATCTAACAATTTTTTTTTCTCTCCCCTGGTAACCAACAAAGAAAATTTCCTTCCATCTATAAACCTTTCCTTGACTTTTTACAGTAGTGGACTAATTCAATATATGTCCTTCTGTGATTGACTTACTTCACTCAGCATAATGTCCTCCAAGTTCATCCATGTTATGCAGTGTTTCACAGATTCCACCTTATTCTTTAGTGTTGCGTAGTATTCCATTGTGTGTATGTACCATAGTTTGGCTATCCATTCTTCTGTTGATGGACACTTGGTTGTTTCCATCTCTTTGCTATTGTGAATAGTGCTGAGACGAACACAGGTGTGCATATATCTGCTCTTGTCCTGGGTCTCACTTCTTTAGGATATATCCCTAGTAATGGAATTGCTGGGTCAAATGTATTTCTAATTCCAACTTTTTTAAGGAATCACCATACTGATTTTCATAGTGATTATATCATTTTACAGTCCCACCAGCAGTGTATGAGAGTCCCAATCTCTCCACATCCTTGCCAGCACTTGTTATTTTCTGTTTCGTTGAACTTTGCTATTAGTGCTCAGGCCAGATGGTATCTCATGGTTGTTTTGATTTGCATCTCTCTGATGGCTAATATCACAAATATTTCTTTGTGTGTTTGTTGGCTGCCTGAATATCTTCTTTGGTGAAATGTTTGTTCATGTCTTCTGCCTATTTTTTAATTGGATTGTTTGTCTTTTTGATGTTGAGGTTTTGGAGTTTTCCATAACTTTTAGAAATAAGTCCTTGTCATTTATGTCATTCTCAAATATTTTTTCCCAATCTCTAGGTTCTTTTTACTCTTTTGGACAAGTCTTTTGAAGCACATAAAAATTCAATTTTAAAAAAGTCCCAATCAGATGATCTTCCTTTGTACATTTGGGGCTATGCTTGATAGTCTATTTATTCCATAAATTAGGGCCCCTAAGTTTGCCCCTATTTTTCCTTTGGTGAACGTTATAGTTTCAGGTTTCACATTTAAGTCTTTGATCCACCTCGAGTTAGATTTTGTATATGGTGTGACATATAGATCTTGTTTCATTTTTCTGCAAATAGATATCCAGTTTTGCTAGCTCCATTTCTTAGAAACTATCTCTTCCCCATTTAATGGATTTTGGCCATTTGTCAAAGATCAGCTGACCATAGGTCAATGGATCTATTTCTGGGTTCTCAATTCTATTCCACTGGCCTGTGTCTGTTGTTGTGTCAATACCAGGCAGTTTTGACTACTGTGGCTGTATAGTCGGTTTTGAGATCCGGCAGTGTGAGCCTCCTACTTTGTTCTTCTTCTTCAATAGTGCTTTGCTTATCTGAGATCTCTTTCCTTTCCATATAAAATTAGTGATTGGTTTTTCCGTATCGTTAAAGAATGTTGATGGAATCTGGATTGAGATTGCATTGAATGTATAGATTGCTTTGGGTAGTATTGACATTTTCACAATGTTCAATCTTCCTAACTATGAGCATAGTATGTTATTCCATTTATGTAGATCTCTTATATTTTCTTGAAGCAGTGTTTTGTACTTTTCTTTGTATAGGTCTTTTGTGTCCCTGGATTTACTCCCAAGTATTTTGGTAGCTATTGTAAATGGTATCCATTTCCTTATTTCCTTTTCAGCAATCTCTTTACTGGTGGAGAGGAATCCAGTTGGTTTTTGTATGTTGATCTAAATCTCTCAATTAGTTCCAGTAGTTTTTTTTTTTTTCCTCTTTTTTTTACTGAGTCTCTTGGGTTTTCTAGGTTTAGGATCATATCATCAGCAAATAGGGCTAGTGTTACTTCCTCCTCGGCAACTTGGGTGCCTTTTATTTCCCTTTCTTTCCTTATTGCCCTGGCTTAGGCTTTCAATACAATGTTGAATAGAAGTGGTGACAGAGGGCATCCTTGTCTGGTTCCCACTCACAGGGGGAATGGTTTCAGTCTCTCTCCACTGAAAATAATGTTGGCTGTTGTTTTGGGAGCTCTGGTTGTGTAGTGAGTAAGGCATTTGACTGCTAAACTAGAAAGCTGGCAGTTCAAACCCACCAGCCACTACTCAGAAGAAAGACTGGGCAATCTACTTCCATAGATATACCACCTCGGAAACCTAAGGAGGGGTCGCTATAAGTCAGATTCAACGTGACTGTAATGAGTAGTAAGTGAGTTGGTTTTGTTTATAAGCCCTTTATTATGTTGAGGAATTTCCCTTCTACTCCTATTTTGCTGAGAGTTTTTATCAGGAATGGGTGTTGGATTTTATCAAATGCCTTTTCTGCATCAATTGATATAATCATGTGGTTCTTTTCCTTTGTTTTATTTATGTGATGGATGACATTGATTGTTTTTCTGATGTTGAACCATCCTTGCATAACTGGCATGATCCCCACTTGGTCATGATATATTATTAATTTTTTTTATGTGGTTGGAGTCTATTGACTAGAATTTCGTTGAAGATTTTTACATCTATGCATGAGGGATATTGGTCTATAGTTTTCCTTTTTAGTGATGTCTTTGCCTGGTTTCAGTATTAAGGTTGTGCTTGCTTCATAAAATAAATTTAGGAGTATTCCATCCTTTTCCGTGTTCTGGAATAGTTTGAGTAGGACTGGGGCCAATTCTTCTCTGAACATTTGGTAGAATCCTCCAGTGAAACTGTCTGGGCCAGCAGTTTGTTTTTGGTGGTAATTTTTTTATGACCTGCTCAGTTTTTCCTTTTGTCATGAGTCTGTTAAAATATTCTACCTCAATCTTTGTTAGTTTAGGTAAGTAGTATGTTTCTAGAAATCTCTCCATTTCTTCTAGATTTTCAAATTTGTTGGAGTAGAGTTCTTCATAGTATACTGATATTATCCTTTTTATTTTTGTTGGTTCTGTTGTGATGTCATCTAGTTTGTTTCTTATTCCTGTTATTTGTATTGTCTCCCTCTTTTCCTTTGTTAAGTTTGCCAATTTAATTAATCTTTTCAAAGAACCAACTTCTAGCCTCGTGAATTTTTTTCTATTGTCTTTATATTTTCTGTTTCATTTACTTCTGCTCGGATTTTTATTATTTCTTTTCTTCTGGTGACTGTAGGCTTTTTTGCTTCTCTTTTTCTCATGGTCACTTTTTGGGGTGGGACAAAACCAAGTGTCTTTTAAACTTGAGAAATGCTGTTTCTTGTGTATTTTTGCTATAAAATAAAAGTAACTCTTATAACAACTCTTCTTCTTCCTCTCTCCCCGCTCAAAATATTTTTATGTCAAACAATCCTTCCTTGAACTTCTTATTTTCAGGTAACTGTAGATTCCCATGTGGTTCTAAGAAATAGTAGGGCTTCTGTGTGTCCCTCACCCAGTTCCTCCAATAGGAACATCTCGATGCTGGAAGCCGCTGAGGTTTCCAGCTTCTTTGTTGGTGGTGGCTGTTGAGTCAATTCCAGCTCATGGCAACCCTGTATCTGTCAGAGTAGAACTGCTCCGTACAGTTTTCAAGGCTAAGACCTTCTGGAAGGTTTGCGAGGCTTTACTTCTGAGGCACATCTGGGGGAGGTTTGAACACCATCCACCTTTTGTACTTAACCCAAAGTGCTCAGCCATTTGTGTCACACAGAAACTCCTCATGGTAATACCTTGTGCAATTAGAGAACAATATCCTGACAGGGAAATTGGCATCAACACAGTAACCAATCTTACTCAGAATTCACTAGTTTTGTGTGCACTCATTTGTGTTCAAACACGTTTTGTCTCAAACTATATTTTATGTGTCCTAACACAGCTGGTTATCTAAATAAATCTATTTGATTCCTTCAGTAAATGAGCTATGCCTACTTGAATGTTTTGTATATAAATCTGACTTGTCATATATTGGATTTATTTACAGAACAGCAAGTAAGGACATGTGACGAGTATCACTAATGTATTCCTAGCACAAGGAGCTAGCTAGGCTTCAGCTCTTGTTGGCTAATCCTAGTTCAAGGACGTTCAGCTGCGAAAACTTAACTTTGTGATCATTTGGCTTTCAGACAGCAAACAGCTTAATGTGGATTCTCTACAATTTATCCCGAAATCCCCACGTGCAACAAAAGCTTCTTAAGGAAATTCAAAGAATGTTTCCTGAGAATCAGACGCCCCGGGCAGAGAATTTACGAAATATGCCATATTTAAAAGCCTGTCTGAAAGAATCCATGAGGTGAGAATATACCCCTAAGTCAAAGTGAATCTGTTAGAAAATTGTTCTCTAAAAGAGGAAACGTGGCGTCCGGCCCTCACCCACTGACACCTCCTCCAGTTGATTCATAAATGTTTATTGAATTGCCAAAAGGAGCCCTGGGACCAAATTTGTTTTCTGTTGCTCATTTCCTAAATCATTTGGAAAAATTCTATTAAATCTTGGGAAGTTGTCTTTAAATAATGAATGTTATGAATGTAATGCATGTTGTACCCACTGCTATTGAGTAGATTCCAGCCCCTAGCACCTCTCATTGGGTTTCCAAGGCTATAAATCTTTATGGCCAGTGAACTGCTTCATCTTCCTCCTGCGGAACAGCTGGTGGGCTTGAACCGCCAGTCTTCGGGTTAGCATCCTTATCCACTGTGCCACCAGAGCTCTTCAATGAGTGCTATAGCACCACTTAAGGTTAGGAGCCCCATTGAAACTCAACAAGGGAAGCAGTCTTGAATGATAAGACAGAGAGACGTCTTTGTTTTTGAATCTCTGGAATAAAATGTTCTTTCAAAATTCTTTTCACTCCTTTCTGGAAAACAAAACTCACCCCATCCTAGCATTACAAAGAAATAGCTTTAACTTATTAAGGAGTAGATGACAGAAACTAGAGGAAACATTAGGCTTAAGGGTGTAGTTTTGACTTCATGAAGGGTAGATAAGCAAACAAACAAAAACCCTAGAAGCAACCTTAGCCTTAAGGGTAAAATAGAAAATATACCCGTTAAAGTCCGGTCCAGCATGAGACAAAGGAAAAGTAGTACTAACTAGTGAGGTCGTTAATAGTTTAGGTTGTTAGAGGTTTAGATCCCTGGGTGATGAGGCCAGCTTGCACTCAACTACTAACCCAAAGCTAAGGTTTGAACCCATTCAGTGGTGCTGCAAAAGAAAGCCCTGGCAACCTGCTTCCATAAAGATAGCAGCCAAGAAAACCCTATGGAGCAGTTCTACTCTGTAGCACGTGGGGTCACATGAGTCTGAATGAACTCTACAGCAATAGGTAGTGGAGGCTTAACCCATACAATACGACTGGAAAATGGAACGAGAGTATCATGTATCAAGTATTGCACAGATATTGGAAGAGAGAACTTTTTCATGAAGAGTTGTGATCTTGTACTCTTTTTGAGTGTAAGCTCATGTAACAATTATTTGTTTAATCAGAATCTGCATTCACATAAACACTAAAGGTAGAACTTAGTCTGTGCCCATCTTTACATCTTTGATTTTTATTTTATTTTTTTAAGGCTTACTCCAACTGTGCCATTTACAACTCGGACTCTCGACAAGGCAACTGTTCTGGGTGAATATGCTTTACCTAAAGGAGTAAGTCATATTTTCATATCCGGTACTTTATACATCTTTGAAAGGTACCATTTCTGCATTGTCATCAGAACTTCCAAAAACTTTTCAGCAGGAGAGCATTGATATTGGAAATAGGGACTGTAGACTGTTCCTGACAGCCTGACGTGCTGATGGCATTATGTTAGCATACTGGCTGTGGATTCAGAGACCTGGCTTCAAGTCCATCTTGGTCTGTGTAGCCTGGAGTGCGTGACATAGCCTCTGTGAACTCGGTCCCTTCGTCTGCAAAGTGGGGGTCATGATAGACTCAGCTCCATGAGGTTGTAGTGAGAATGGGATACAAAATCTCAAAAGTTCCTGACCTTTCTCTTACCCATCACATTTTAAGCACTCTATCCATGTTGGCAGTCATCATAGTTACAGACTCATGAGTTACTTTTATATTTGCGAGGGGATCACGTTTGTAAATTTTGCTATTCATGCATCCTCTTCTGGTTTATTTACATCCTATGTGTTTCTGTGGGTTTCTAGACAGTGTTGACACTAAATACCCAGGTGTTGGGGTCCAATGAAGACAATTTTGAAGACCCAAGTCAATTTAGACCTGAGCGTTGGCTTCAAGAGAAGAAGATCAATCCCTTTGCACACCTTCCATTTGGCATTGGCAAACGGATGTGCATTGGCCGCCGACTGGCTGAGCTCCAGCTGCACTTGGCTCTCTGCTGGGTAAAGCCCTCGGATTGCATTCCCACCCCTGTGTTCTGTGTAATTTCACACAGGAACAGAGAACAGAGGGGGTGACTCTGCTTTGTGCATGTGTGTTCCAGATCGTCCAAAAATACGATATCGTGGCCACTGACAATGAGCCTGTCGGGATATTGCACCTGGGCATCCTGGTGCCCAGCCGAGAGCTCCCCATCGCCTTCCGCCAGCGATAAGATGCCTCAGGTCAGTACCAGGGGTGTGGGGTTTGCTGTCTTCTGTCAGGTGCTGTCATTGACCAAGGGGTGAGCTCAGAGCAGGAGTCAGCCCGACTTGGGATTGACTCCTTGCCCAGCACTGATTTTCTGGGTGACTTAGAGCAGTTGCTTGACCACTCTGCCTCATTTTTTCCATGTGTATCCATTACAGAAAGTCAGTATGACTATTACATGCTTAGTCCAGAGCCTGGCACCAAGTAAGTGCTCAGAAAATGCTAGTGGCTGTTTCTCTCTGTGTGTATAGGAGGTTGCCATCTGATTTCTGTAAAGGGTCAGCTGGCAAGTATTTTAGGCTTTGGGGGTCAGAGAGTCTTGTCCCACATACTCAACTCTGTCATTGCAGCATGAAAGTGGCCACAGAGAATCCATAGATGAATAGGCACAACTGTTACGTTAGTTTTCTATTTTTTCTATTGCTCATGACTAATTAACATACATCTTCTAGTTTAAACAACACAAATACATTATCTTACAGTTCCGGAGGTTAGAAGCCAAACATGGCTCTCACCAGGCCAATGTCAAGGTGTTGGCAGACCACGTTCCTTTTTGGAGGCTCTTGGGGAGAATCTGTTCCCTTGCTTACTTGGGACATTGACAGGATTTAGTTCCTTGCAGTTGTAGGACTGAGGTCTCTCTTGCTGTCTTTGGCTGAGGGCTGTTCCCAGCTTCTACAGGCCACCTACATTCCTTGGCTCATGATCCTTCTTCCATCTTCCAAGCCAGCAACAGTGGCTGGAGCCCTTCTCAAGCTTCAAATCTCTCCTCTTTCTTCTGTATCTCTTTGTCAGCAGCTATCCAGGACCATCTCCTCATCAAAGTTCAGACCCTTAATCACACTGGCAAAGTTTCTTTTGCCATGTAAGCTAACATGTTCACGGGTTCTGGGGATTAGGACTTGAACATCTTTTGGGGCCATTATTCTGTCTACCACTGTTGTGTTCCAATAAAACTTTATGTATAAAAACAGGTTGTAGACCATATTTGGCCTCAGGCTCTTGGTTTGGCAACCCGTGGCATGTATGTGTGTGACTGCTAACCAGAAGGCTGGCGGTTCAAACCCACCAGCCACTCTGTGGAAGGAAGTTTGGGCAATCTACTTCCATAGTGATAACACCTTGGAAACCCAAGGAGGGGTTGCTAACTTATAGTTAGCACTATGACTATCGACTGGATGCAGC